ACACTATAATGTGTATTTGTTGAGTTTTAGGAGTTCTCTATGTCTTTCTGATTAATTCCTACATCAGATATGCCCCTTTCTTTTTCTTGTTTTCCTTTTTTTAAACAAAATCTTTAATGTTCAGATTATTACCATTTGTTCCTCATTTTTCCCCCCATAACTCCCCTCCTCCCAGTTCCCACCCCACCCTCCGCTCTCACTCCCCACCCACTGTCCTCATCCATCGGTGCACGATTTTTGTCCAGTCTCTTCCCGCATCTCCCACACCCCTGTCCCCCCCAAGAATAATCAGTCCATTCCCTTTCTATGTCCCTGATTCTATTTTAATCACCAGTTCATTCTGTACATCAGATTATTTATTCACTTGATTCTTAGGTTCACTTGTTGATAGATGCATATTTGTTGTTCATAATTTGTATCTTTACCTTTTTCTTCTTCTTCCTCTTCTTAAAGGATACCTTTCAGCATTTCATATAATACTGGTTTGGTGGTGATGAACTCCTTTAGCTTTTCCTTATCTGTGAAGCTCTTTATCTGACCTTCAATTCTGAATGATAGCTTTGCTGGATAAAGTAATCTTGGTTGTAGGTTCTTGGTATTCAGCACTTTGAATATTTCTTGCCACTCCCTTCTGGCCTGCAAAGTTTCTGTTGAGAAATCAGCTGACAGTCGTATGGGTATTCCCTTGTAGGTAACTGAGTTTCTTTCTCTTGCTGCTTTTAAGATTCTCTCTTTGTCTTTTGCTCTTGGCATTTTAATTATGATGTGTCTTGGTGTGGTCCTCTTTGGATTCCTTTTGTTTGGGGTTCAGATATGTGGTTTTCAAATATTTTTTTAAAAAATATGTTTTTATTGATTTTTAGAGAGGAAAGGAGAGAGAATAGATAGAAACATCATTGGTCAGTTGCCTCCTGCATGCCCCCTACTGGGGATGGAGCCCATGATCCGGGCATGTGTTCTAACCAGGAATTGAACCAGCAACCTCTTGGTTCATGGGTCGATTTGCAATTTGAAATTTTCTCCCATTCTATGGGTTGCCTTTTTATTCTGTGGATAGTGAAATTTTAAATTTTCATGAAGTGCAACATATCTACTTTTTCTTTTGTTGCCTGTGCCTTTGGTGTCATATCCAAGAAATCATTGCCAAATCCAATGCCATAAAGTTTTCATCCTGTTTTATTTAAGAGTTTTATTGTTTTTGGTCTTACGTGTAGGTCCTTGTTCCATTTTGAGTTAATTTTTGTACGTGGTGTTAGATAAGGGTCCAATTTCATTCTTTGCATGTGGACACCCAGTTTTCCTAGCACCAATTGTTTAAAATATGGTCCTTTCCCCAAGGTCTTGGTACCCTTGTCAAAAATCACTTGGCCACATGTGAAAGGGTTATTTCTGGATTCTCTTCTATTGTGTCGATCTACAGGTCTGTTCTTATGCCAATATCGTATTGTTTTTATTACTATAGTTTTGCTACCAGGAAATCTGAGTCCTCCAGTTTTGTTCTTCCTTTGCAAGATTATTTTGGCTATCCAGGGTCCACTAAACTTTCATAGGAATTTTAGGATTGGGATTTTGATATTGAATCTGTAGATCACTTTGGGTAGTACTGACATTTTAAAAATATTAAGTCTTCCATTATATAAATATGGGATGTGTTTTCATTTATGTCATCTTTAATTTCTTCCAGCAATGTTTTGTAGTTTTCATAGTATAAATGTTTCATCTTTTTGGTTAAATTAATAAGTATTTTATTATTATTGGATGCTTTGTAAATGTTGTTTTTGTACTTTCCTTTCAGGTTGTTCATTGTTCATGAAAATGCAACTGATTTTTGTGTATTGCCTTTGTATCCTGCTACTTTGCTGAACTCATTTAGTCTAACAGGTTTTTTGTGGAATACTTAGGGTTTTCTACATACAAGCTCATATAATCTGAAAATAGATAATTTTTCTTCTTCCTTTCTGCTGTGGTGGTTTCTCTCCCAATAATTAAAATAGACACATCTTACACAGCTAAAAGCTAACTGCTATTAAAAGTAAACATTTTATTACCTAACAGAAGTACAAGTTTTCAAAAATCTATGTCAATAAAACCAAAGCCATTCTGAACACAATGAGAGATTTTTACAGTCAACAACACTACCTTTCACTTTTCAGATATCTAACTGAAAACAAATGATTACAACTGCTGTGCTAAAATAAAAGCTCAAAATATATCTCTGAAAAACAGAAACAAAAACAAATGGTTACATGTGCTATAAACAGATAGGACCAAAGTCTTCATGTCTATCGTGGCAGCTGAACAAAGTGTGAATTAGGGATCCATTACTCTAAAGGTGACTGAAGCAGACCAGGGAGAAGGGAGCTCACAAGCAGGTGCTTAAACTCGGACCAGGAGTCCATCTATGATCCGGTTCTGGTCAGTCTGACAAGTCACTCTGATCCAGTACGATTATCCTGTGTGTGTTTTTTAAAAAAAACAAAGAAGGGAGTTTTGAGTTGATGTGTACATTTTTAAAAGACACAAAAAACAGCCTCTTTCTATTCAGCTGAATTTAAGGGAAAGGAATTTTTATTTCTTTTAGTTAAAAAAAATTTTGTATTAAATTTATTGACCTGGCCAGTGTGGCTCAGTGGTTAAGTGTCGAACTATGAACCAGGAAGCCATGGTTTGATTCCCAGTTAGGGCACATGCCCTGGTTGTGGGCTTGATCCCTGATGGGGGTAGGGGGTGTGGGAAGCAGCCAATCAGTGATTCTATCTTATCATTGATGTTGCTATCTCTCTCCTTCTCCTTTCCACTCTGAAATCACTAAAAATATATTGTTTAATTTACTGGAGTAACATTGGTTAATAACATAATTTTTATAATCAAAGGAGATATGCTCAACTAGGGTATCATGCAAATGCAAAATGACTGCAAAGCAACTGATAGCAGCATCTTCTGGACTCCCTCCATCTAAAACTGTTCTGCTAATTCTACCGATTA